TTGTTAGCCTTCTATCCATGAGTTGCTATGGACCTCAGTATCCCTTTGTCTCATTCTGTGTGTGGTCTGCCATCTGCACCACATTGGATAAAGCTCCTGTCATTCTCCTTCCCAGATCTTAACCAGAATGAGCACCCCCAGAGCTCCTTGTTCAAACCTCCCCAGGGAACTTCTCTTGCTCTGTGGTCATTGTGGCTGCCTCTGATTTCTTGTTCCTTTGCAAACTTGAGCTCAGTGTGAAAAGGACCAACCTGTCCTATGTGCCCAGGGAAGCTTGTTTGTCCTCTTAGATTCTTGGCCCAGTCTCTGCTTGGCAAAACCCATTGCGGGCACACCTGGGGATCTCAAGGTCTATCTCACCCTTACCTCTAGTTTCCCTTTTATTTTCCCTCTGTCTAAAGGATATTGGGGCAGCACTTGAGTGCAAGGTGCATTGCTGAAAAGATATTGGTGAGATGGAAGGGACCTTGCTCTTCCCCCTGTGCCCTCTCAGATCTATTTTACTGGGTCCCCCATCCTCAGACCCTTCTGTCTTTCATTCCCATTCCCACTGCAGTTGAGCAACTGCAGGCAGCCAGCATGTGTGAGCAATGCCTGATTCATAACCTGCCTGGTACAACTAGTGCAGAGGCACTTGGCCTGGTCCATGGGGACCCTGGGGAAGCAGAAACACCGTCCTTTCAGGGCCACAAATACCTTTGCGCTGCTTGGAGAGACAGCTTCCTTTGGATGGGGGAATCTGCCTTTTGCTTCCAGCCTAAGCAAGGTAACTAGTTATCTAGGGAGATAACTAAATAAAGATAACTAGATAAACCTAGATAACCCACCTGCGTGTCACCCTATGGATCTCTAAAGCCCATGCCAATCTAGGACATTTGTCTCTGTTCTGGGATCAGAAATGGACAACCAAGGCCCTACAGCCCTTCTCGTGGTCACTCTACCAAGGGCACAGATGCTAATTGCCATCTACTCTAGTAGCTGGCGGGCAACACTGATAGTGAACCTGGGGACTGCTGTGCCTCATGGTGATGACTCAGTGCATCCTTACATCTGCCCCGTGACAGGAGGGTGACAGTGGAGGGCACCTCCCAGCTTTGCAGGCTTGGCATATTGTCCTGAGTGGCTTGGACTAGAAGAGAGGAGCAGGCCCAAGCCTAGTTCATTGCAGGAGCTCCTGGGAGAGCTGTCAGACATGTTGGCACCTAAGGTGGGAGTGGATTGGGAGTCTGGAGCCTGGTGACTGAGATACCGGCGAGAAGGGGTGGGGATCCCAATGAATCATTTCAGAAGTATTGGGTTGTCTGTATTTGTGTATCCCGCACCACTGCACACTGTGCTGAGAAGTTTGGAGAGCACTTGGAAGTCTGGGTTGAGGCTCAGAGCTGAAGGATGGGGTCCAAGGTTGTACCCCTGCTGCTGCCCTGCGTTCCAGCTGTGGACATGGTGACGTTCGTGAAGGACCAGGCATGGGCCTTGGAGAAAAGCCTGAGAGACCAGATTCCTGCAGCCCCACACCTCTTCTATGTGTTACACAAGGCCTGCCCTGGGAGTGGGGGGGAGGGAGGTGGAGAGGACCTCTCAGGGCCACCCCCCATCCAGGCAGTATACGAACTTGCAGCCTCACCTTCCTGGGAAGACCAGGATCTGTTACAGGTCCTGCCTGGACAAAGGAGGCAGTAGCTGTTGCCACAGACATGCCACTGGCTCCAAGAGTGCCTGGCCCCAGCTCCTTCAGCCCCTTTCGTGCCTCTACCCCTGGTTGAGACTGATCTCTGCTTCTCAGTTCCCCACAAACAGAGGACATCCCCCCCCCCCCCCGTTCCATGCCCCTAATTGGGAGGGGTCCAGAAAGGACATGATAGACCCAAAGTGTCTGTCCTTTTGACTTTCTGCAGCTTTAGAATGACTTCTTTTAGAAACACTCAGCTCCTAGAGGTACAGCTTTGGGTCCTACTGGATCTGTGGCCAGCTGCATGGGTGGTATATATAGCACCAGGCAGGAAGCCAAACATCTCTGTCCACCAAAGAGGCAATCACACACTGCTGGGGCTGCCCAGGGGCCGAGCAAAGTTGCACTTTGTAAGAAGAGAAAAGGAGGTCGAGCACTGGTGGCTTACACCTGTAACTCCAGCTACTTAGGAGGCTGAGATCTGGGGATGCTAGTTTGAAGCCAGACAAATCTATGAGATTCTTCATCACCAATGAGCCTTAAAAAGCTAAAAGTAGAGATGTGCCTCAAACAGTAGAACATCAGCCTTGAGCAAAAAAGCCGAGGCCTTAAGTCCAGGCCCCAGTATCAGCACACACATATACAAACACAAGAAAATTTTAAAAAATGAGGAGGGGTCATGGATACCCCCTGCTATTTGAGTGCATAAAGGGGGCCTCTCAGGACAAGATGAGGGCCAGCATGTTGGCCATCTAGGGGATAGAAGGGACATTGTTGGCTCTACCTGTTTCAAAGAAAGGCCCAAGCCAGGACTGGCACCATCCTCTCTACAGCTGGACACACTGCATAAGCCACAGCAGGCTTTTTCCACCCCAGCCACCCATCCCAGGACTGTATATCCCACCCTGTAAGTGCATAAGACAAAGGCAGGCCAAGGAGGCAAGCAAGCAGGACCTGCCCCAGCAGCACAAACAGGCCTTTCCACATCAGAAATGTGCATGACCCCTGATCAGACACTCCTGACCCCCCCCACCCCCACCCCAGCCCTTGTGCAATCCCCTCCTGCCTCTGTCTTGACCTGGTAGGCGTCTGAGGGTGGTGCCCAGATTCTCTTTTTTGGCTTCCAATTCCTGTGTGTTGTCAGTCACCAGCATTTGCCTCCAAACTGTTCCTGTTGGTCTGGGCCATGGTGAGAGCATGCTCTGACACAGTCACCATCCAGCTACAGGGAGGGGAGGGAACTGACATGGGGAGGGGAACTGACATTTGTCCTCTGCTGTAGTGAGCCTCTCTGCTGTGGGGGGTTGGGGGGAGGTATGGCCTCCCTCACTGCCTCTGTTGCAGGAATGTAGTCTTCCAGGTGTGTGAAGTTGTGGCTGCCTAACACGCACCATGCCTGCTTGTAGCATTCCAGGCCCCCATGGCCAGGCTCTGCACAAAAGCTTGCCTGCCTGGCCTTTATTCCCTTTCCAGGAGCTACTCTGCTAGCGATAGGAAGAAAAGGGACACCCTTGGTCAAGCAGGTGGCCTGTGACAGTGGAGGAAAGCCCCAATCCCTTAGTGCATGATGTGCATGGCTTTCCCCTAGGGAGAGCAAGGCTAGGAAGGCGGGGTGGGCAGCACCATCTGCAGTCCTTTGTGCTGGCTGGCGGTGAACGTCCTGGTGCTGTGATCAGGCTGCCTCGTGCTTGGCATGCAAATGAGTTCCCAGATGCCCCGTGCCCCTGCACAAGGAACGTAACTAGGGGCCTGGAGAAGAATGGAGCAATCTGGAAACACTTCTGTTTGTTCCAGCCTCATTGAATAGGCAGCTTTCCCTCCAGCCACAGCAGATGTGTGCTGGGCACTGCTGGAAGAGCCTTGCCAGTTTCTGAGCATGTGGGGGCTGAAGGGAAGAACCTCTCCTCCCTATGTGCTCATCTCCACTGAGCACCCATGGCTTATGCCTGTAATCCTAGCTACTCAGGAGGCTGAGATCTGAGGATCAACCCAGGCAGTAAATTCCATGAGACTCTTTATCTTCAATTAACTATCAACAAGCCAGAAGCAGAGCTGTGGCTCAAGTGGCAGAGTGCCAGTCTTGAGCAAAAAAAGCTACAGGACAGCTTCCAGATCCTGAGTTCCAGTCCCAGTAGGATCACATGCACACGTACAATGCAGGAGCAAGTTAGTGTGCAGAGTGAAGGAGTGGGCTTGTTTCCAGTCCAATAGCTAATAGACAAGTCAGCTCTCCAATCAGTGTGGCCCAGGGATTCTCATGAGCTGAAGTGTGGTTCCCAGGATGGATATCTCAGTTCTCCCATCTGCCCCTTCCCAAAGCCAGGAGGGCAGGGCAGGGGGCATTTCCCCTCTTTACCTCCAAACACACTGAGACCCAGAGTCTATGAGCTCTGAGAGTCACACAGCTGTGACGCTAGAGCCTAGGCTTTGAGACTTGCTGACCTAGACAATGCTCTTGGCCTCTGGTGGCCACATTGGGGCAGTGAGGGATGAAAGAAAATCACTCTTCTCCATGCCTTCCCCAGTACCAGTTTATTCAAAGCTCACTCAGCCTGGACATCAGTCTAGCTTTTTTTTTTTTTCCCATTCCCTCATGTGGTGCCCTTGGCAGTCTCTAGCATAACCTTCTACCCCTGCCCCCCTCCACTCTGGAACTCCTCCTGTCCTTTCAACAGGCATTAATGCCCAGCTGTGCAGGGACCAGCAATGAGTTTGGTGGGAAGGCAGGTGGCACATGTGTTCTGTATGGGGCAAGTTTTGGGTGGGAGTCTCTGGGAGGTCCCTGAAGACCCTCTTGGATGTTTCTACTGCTTTCATGCACCCACGGGGAGAAGCCATGTGGAGCTGTTCAAAGTGCAGGTTGGGGGAGGGACTCTTTAAAAGTCCAAAAGGGGGTGAGGGGTGTGGCTCGGGTGGTAGAGTACCAACCAGTAAGCAAAAGCATGCATCAAATACCAAATTTGAGTCCCTGCCTGAGGAAGGAAGGTAGTGCCCCACTGCCCCCGACATGAAGTGTGTCACGCCCCTGTCCCCTCCCATCTCCCCTTGGCTCCGTCTCTGCCCTCATCTTCTTTGTCTGGACTCCACAGTGCTTCTCAGAGTGGTGGTCCTTAAACTTGGGCCCCTCTGATTGACTCTTTAGCAGTGGATGTTTTAGGGTTCTCCGTGGGGGTGTGTTAGTCCCCTTTTAAGGATGAGAACACAGCTCACTGTCTCCTGGGAGCCAAGCTAGGATCACCAACACCCAGTGTGGGAAGAAGGGTACAATGGAGGCTGGGTGATGGGACATGATAACCAGGGTGCCCACTGACCATGCTGTCCTTCCTTGCAGCCCTGCTGTCCTCCTGGTGTGAGGAGCTTGGCCGCCTGCTGCTGCTCCGACATCAGAAGAGCCGCCAGAGCGACCCCCCTGGGAAACTCCCCATGCAGCCCCCCCTCAACTCCATGAGCTCCATGAAACCCACTCTGTCACACAGGTGAGTGGGCAGGTGCCTCCCTGGGCGGATGCACAGGTCTCCTTGGCACCCTCTCCCCCACCCTCCCCCGGAATGCAAGAACTGGGGTAGGACCTCCAAACCGCTGGGAGAATATCATCCCAGATGTGCTTGTTTTTCTTTCCCTTCTTTTTTTTTTTTTTAAAAAAAACTTCATAGCGAACGAATGTTATTTTGAGCTAGATGTAGCGATGCATGCTTATAATCCCAGCTACGCAGGAATTCAAGATAGAAAAAATAAATAGAAAGGAAAGGAAGAGAGGGAAAAGGGAAGGGAAAGAATAGAGCAAAAATAGGAAGAGAGCACTGGATTTTTTCCTACTCATCTGCTGTGTCCTTCCCTAGGGGACTGTCTCTCCTTCAAGGTATGTCAGATGGAATATTAGGAACCCTGAATCCGGACCTTTCTGAACTCTTTCCTGAGCAGTCTTAGGCAAAACCAGAAAAAACCAAGAGCAGGCAGGATGTCAGAAGGGCCCCAGGGTTAGGGGTTTCACCCTAGTGGAGGAACAGACCCAATCCAGAACCATCACACTAAAGCCATATGAGTCTGGGCCAAGTCTGCCAGAAGACCAGAGTTCTGGGTAGGAACAGTCTTATTCGAGGCCTCTGGTCTGCTCTGCGCCAGCTGCAGCTGAGCACGGGGCCAGGATTGGTGATTTCCCCCAGTTAATTATCTGGAGGGCACCTTGCTGAGCCTAGCTGCTCTCTGCAGCACTCTGCAGGCTGACCCTGGAACCACGGGGCCTGTCATACTGTCTGTTCTCCCTGGGCGCATCCTGCTAATGAACAGGAAGAACATAGCAGTCTGATCGGCTCTCATTATCCTTCCAATCGAGGAACCCGTGGCCCAGAGCATGCTGTATACAGGACTTGGAGCTCCATCATCCACACTTATAAATTGAATTAGAGGCTTGTTGACTCTGAAATAAAGAAGACTTTGGTTCACTCATTAGGGCTAGCGTCCCCCGCCAGGCCCACCCCAGCCCAGAGCACTGCCTTGCCAGACCCTGCTTGGCCACTAATAGCCACAGCTGCCTCCCTCCTATGCCAGTGTTTTCTTGTGGATTGGGGTATGGCCAATGGATAGTGCAGGGTTTGGTGGAGTGTTTAGTATTGGGGGCAGTTGGGGGGAAGTCCCTGCCTATCTGATTCTTCTAGCTCCTTTCCTAAGCATTGCAACAGCAAAAACGCCCTCACATATGTAGGAGAGTTGGGTGGTATCACCCCTAGGCTGAGAACAAAGGCTCTGGAGAAGCAAACACCACCTCCTGCCTTCCCTTCACCTCCGGCAGGCTAATAGCTACAAGCCACTTCCCATGGTGCCTAGCGCTAAGCACAGGCAGTAGATGATGTCACCTAATCAACATGGTGGCAGTGCTCTTGGTGATACTTCGTGTTAATCATTCTGGCCCAGCCATCTTCTCTCCAGAATCATCCTGTCATTATCCCACGTTGTGTCCTGCTTAACCTTCTCTCCTTGGAGTCATTTTACTCAGGTTGATGATCACCTTGGACGTGATCATTTGGGCCACAGAGGGTCACAAATCTGGACCATGGCCACCCCTTTACTGGGTCTTCATTGAGTGGAACTCATCAAGAATGAGATAATTCCATCCTGGAGCTGGACAGAGGTGAAAAGTATTTCCACTCTAAAAACAGAAACTGACCAGTGGAGAAGTAAGACTCACTGGGCAAAATTGGGAACTAGCAGATGAAGGCAGGTTTAAAGGCAGCCTGGGCCTGGATTCCAGAGGAGAGAAGTTGGCAAGGCTGACAGCCAGAAGCCTACCCAAAGATGAGGGGTCTTGACTAGGAAAGGCTTGAGCTGGGAATGGCTACAGTTGCTCTATAACTTCAAGATGGCATTACCTAGAAGAGATGGGTGCACAGAGCCACCCTTCCCTCCCCCCCCCCCCCCCCCCAACCACAAGTTCAGCTCTTGATAAGGAATGCAAAGCAAGTTGTCTGGGAGCTTGAAGATCGATCTGGCATTCGTTCTGTGGCCTCCAGTGGTTTGTCAGAGAAAGGTGAGTTGTGTGGGCTGCAGGACTTGCCAGGCCTTTACTTACAGTGAGCACCACACACGCACACACACAATGAGGACCCCTTTCTGGAGCACTACAAAATGACAGGCCTTCTGGGGATTACCCACCTCTCCACATGACAGAACTAGAAAGAAAATAGATGCAGGATAGGAAAGTAACTTAACCAAGAGCACACAGCCATCAAGGTAGAGCAAGATACTGGGCACAGCTCTGCCATTGCTCCTTGTGCTTGGTCGTTCAAGGTCAGTGTGGAGGTATCTGGCTGTTAGCCTGGTTTGGAGGGGCTTCCTGGAAGAGGCCACACAGCCCCCTCATTCCCACATTATAGCGGGCTAAGTGGGACCAGAGGAAGATGTGTCATCAGGTGAATAAGAACCAGTGCCCATCTCTAATCCAAACTGAGCGCTGTTCTGAGGACGTACTCTGAGTGGTGACCAAAAGTTGAACAGCTCTCCTTAGAACCACCCCATGGGGAAACACCCTCACTTCCAGGGGAACCCCATAGGGTTGTGTAGTTCCCCACACTCGAAGGGAAGAAGATGAAAAGCTTTCACAGTTAAGGGCCTGTTTAACTCCATCGTCCCCAGCCACATGAAGAATACCGGGCCAGGGAGGGCCGAGATTCACTGGGCTCAGGATGTGCCACTCTGAGCTGGAGGTGGGGGGGTTCTCCTCTGGAGGCTCTGGGGAAAATCAGGGCAGGAACCCAAGAGCTTGAAGCCCCACCCAGAGGTGCAGAGGGCCCCTGGTGACTACAGTAGTGTCCCTGCAGTGTCCACTGCAGGCCATGGGCTAGGAATCAAGGCCTGAGTTCCTCCGTTCAGGTCTATGCTGAGTCTCCCAGAGGGCAAGGTATTACTCTAAACTGTGAGTGATATGTCGGGAAAGGACCAGGCTTCTGGAATATTGTTAAGGTAAGCTATGATATAAAAGTCTTTGGAGCCTTCATGTTATTTGTCTCACCGGCCATAGCAAATCCATTTTTTGTGGCTAGAGAAAAAGTATAAAAGGGTCTAGAAGGCCATCAAGAAAAGGGAAGCCAAGCAATGCCCTAGGAAAGTTCAAGCATGGATCAGGTCAGGAGTTCAACTTCCACAAAGTGATGTGGGCTTCATGTCAGCTTCTTTTGCCCTCTGCTGGACTTGTCACCTCCCTGCCTGCCTGCCTGTCTATCTATTTACCATGTATTCTTATGTGCTTATGTATGTATTTAGTGCCAGAACTGGGGCTTAACCTCAGGGCCTTGTATTCTCACTTGGATTTCCCACTCAAGGCTGATGCTCTAACACTTGAACCACACCTACTTCTGGATTTTTGCTGGTTAATTGGAGATAAGAGTCTCATGGACTTTTTGTCCTAGCTGGCTTCAAACTAAGATAAAGATTCAAGCTAAGATTACAGGCGTGAACCACTAGGGCTTGGCTCTATGAAGCTTTTAATGAGTGGTTAAAACAGTCATTTGTGATTAGCACGTTGTCTGTATGCAAATTAGTGTTGCAAAGGTAATTAGGAGCCTAATAAATCTTGTTTGTGCTGTTAATTTGATTACAAAGACTCAAGAGCAGGGGCCACCTTCCTCTTCCAGGTGTGAGGTTTGCCAGCTCAGATGGGGACATGGGCCCTGGTACCAGGTTGTTGTCTTTTAGCTGGGCAAAATGAGCAGTGACTCAATCTCTCTGGGCCTGTTTCCTCATCCACAGAGGGAATAATAGTAAAGGCAGGAGTAGAATGCATGTTGCCATGACTGGCACACCAGGAGCCCATGGACTCTCTGTTTACCCTGATACACACACACACACACACACACGCACACGCACGCACGACCCAGGCCACACACACACACACACATACGACCCACACATACGACCCAGGCTACTCCCCCAACTTTCAGCTGGGTACCAGCTAGTATGTGTCCATTTGTGGTCAGCCAACGGTGAAGGTCAATCACAACCAGCTGCCATCTTCTCTTCCTTTGTCTCCCCCATCTTCGCAGCTGTCATTTTTAGCTCTTTTTCTGTGGCAGTGTGCCAAAGCTCAGTTTGTAGTAGACCCTTGTTGCCCAAGAAATGTTAAGGGAGAGAGAGAGAAAGAGAGAGAGGGAGGGAGGGAGGGAGGGAGGAGGAGAGAGAGGGAGAGAGAAAGGAAAACGGAAAGAGCCACACATCTCACTCCATCCATCTGCTCCAGATTGCTAAGACGTAAGGAGCTTTTTTTCTTTCTGCTTTCCCCATGGAAAATGTTCACACCCTCTCCTGTGCGGGGAGTGCGCATGTCCCTTCTAGGTTCCACAGAGGAGAGGAAGCCGGCCTTGGCAATTGTGATGATGGAGAATGCTGTTAACGGCTCCCTGAAATTAAAAGAGACCAGGAGCATCAGCTTCTTACTGGCTTCACCTTTCATTAGCTGCTGCTCCACAGCCAGGCCCACGGCCCCACCCATCGAGCTGGATTGGGGAAATTAATTAGGATCTGACAGTGCCCATACTGGGAACTGCTTGCTTCTCCCAAATAAAGCAGCTGCTACAAGTGCCAGGCGAGAAATAGCCCAGCTCTCCCTCCCCCTCACTGCCTTCTGGGGATGCCTTGTGTAGACACTGACTCCGGAGGTGAGGGGGTAGGGGCAGGGCTAGGAATCGCTACCTTTATCCCAAAACTAGCTTATTTTCTTGCATTCAGGAAACCAACTTCACTGACCATGGTGCTGGCATACAGACATATAAACCATCTAGGGCAATCACAACATGATGAGCTCTATAAAACAGATGCCAGGCCAGGTACCAGCAGTTCACACCTGTAATCCTAGCTACTCAGGAGACTGATATCTGAAGATCAACCCACAGAAAAGTCTGTGAAATTCCTATTTCTAATTAAACATCAAAAAGCAAAGAGTAGGGCTATGGCTCAAGTGATAGAGTGTTAAGACTTGAGCAAAAAGGATAGCACCTAGGCCCTGAGCTCAAGCCCCCAAACTGGTACAAGAAAAAATAAAGATGCAAAATATGTTCAGCAAACAGAAAAATACCCTTGGTTCTGCTTAGAAAGTCATCAAAGGGAATGTACAGGCTGGGCTTAGAGTATGGGTAGGAGTTCACCAGCTAGAAAAGGGAAGGCAGGCTAACAGGAAAATCATGGAGCTTGGGAAGCACATTCTCTTTAGTTGACAGGCAGGAATCACTGGTACTAACCCTTCTTATTAGGGGTAAGTTCTCAAAGGAAGGTTTCAAAGCACCTTTGCATAATTGTGGGAGCCCACACTATGGCTGTGCTACAGAACAAATACCTGTCTAGCAGGCACCTAGCTGGACTTGGCCTGAATATTTGCATTTAGTCCTAGGGACGTGTTGAGATGAAGAAGCTCTGTCAGTGGCCGAGCCAACATCTGACCCTTCCAAGTCTTAACGCTAGATCCTATAAGTAACCTTTATCCTGCAAAATTTCCCTCTTTTCATTTCAAAAATGTTAGCCTCAGGGGCTGGGAAGATGGCTCAGTGGTAGAGCGCTTGCCTTGCATGCCTGAGGCCCTGGGTTCGATTCCTCAGCACCACATAAGCAAAAAGAAAAAAGCTGGAAGTGGCGTTGTGGCTCAAGTGGTAGAGCACTAGCCTTGAGCTGAAGAGCTGAGGGACAGCGCCCAGGCCCAGAGTTCAGGCCCCACGACCAGACCCAAAAAAAAAAAAAAAAAAAAAAAAAAAATGTTAGCCTCAGAAATAATCTTCAGTCCCTGGTTCCTTACCAGCTGAGCCGGCCGAGGCTAAAGCAGGTGATTTCCTATGTAAAATATCTTCTCAGGGGAAGGATGTGGTTTGAATTTTCTCTGTTGCCTGTGAATCTCCCCTGACCCCTTTATACTAAGAGGAACACTACCACCCCACCCCCTACCCCGACACACACACATACCCTGCAGTGACTTCCTTGAGAAACCCAGGGGAGATCCAGTCCCCTGGGTCCTTGAGACACTGCTTAGTGTGGTCAGGTGACCAGCAGCCTTTCCCTCTTCTGGCCCTGCTGTCCTGAGAGACCCTGCTACATAGGAGATTGAGTGCGTTATTAAGGGAAAGTTCCATCATAGCATTCCTGACAGCTGGACCCCATTAACTGAGTCAGAGCAAGGTAATACCAGTAGCCAGCACTTCCCCAGATGGAATTCTCACTACAGTCTCTTAGGGGTGGTCTGTGATCACGCCCACTTTGCAGATGACCACCCTGACGCTCCGTACAAGAAGAGCAAGCTAGCTCTCTGTTCTCCCTGGAGAGCTGGGATCACTGCTTCTCCTGGGGCCCCAGGCCCGGTAGACACAGACATTACAGGCACTGGGCAGTCTAGCTTTGTGAATGGACACACGGTGTTTTCCCAGCATTCCATCCTAGAGCAGTGGCCTTTCCCTAGACATGTTTTTTGTGTTCAGCAAAGGCCTCCCCATATCCTCTCAGTTTGTAAAGACATTGAGCCAGACCTGGGGAGCCTGAGACCTCAAAGCAGCAACTTCTGGGGCAAGAAGAACAAGGCAGGAGGCTCTCAGAGTGCAAGGAGCTGGCAGAATTCAGGCCAAAGGGCTTGGGCTTCCTGTTTGAGCCTCAAGGCCCTTGGAGAGTCTACACGGCAGGATCTGGTAATAGAGCTCCCAGACTGAGAAGAGGCACAGTGGGGACACGGCTGCCTCAAGTCAGGAGGCTCTTGGCAGGCATGGCTTCTGATCTAGCAGAGGAGGTAGATGGAGGCAGTTTTGCTTAGACAGGCCTGTATCTGAGGGTATTAGATCAAGGCCATGCAGGGAAGAGTCGCCAGGAGAGTTGAGGCTCTCAGATCCCAAGGGATAGGTTCTCTCTTTGCTCAGAAGTCAAGAATGTACCAAGGAGACGAGTGGTTCCCAGTGGGTATTCCCCAAATGCTAGGCACCCCTACCTAGGCTGCCTGTGTAGACTAAACGATGCTCATCAAAGAAGGACACCTCTCAGCCCCTTAGGCAAGCCCCAGGTAGTTCCTCCACTCTGGTAGCTACCACAGCCATGAGCCTGACTGACTTGACCTTGATCTGTGCATGGGACCATCCCGAGTGGGTGGCACATGAGCAGGCTTACTGCAGTGGGGACTGCATGAATGTGAGCCTTCAGCATGAGATGAGTCACCAGCCCTGCAATGTGGTGACCACTTCTGCTTCTGTACCAGGTGCCTGTGGAGGCCTGAGTGTCTTGACAGCCCCCACCCCCGTGGTGCACTTGTCACTTCCTGGTGTACACAGAGCACCTCACAGGGCTCTGAGTGTGTGTATGTGCACATGCACACGTGCTTGCACACGATGACCTCCTGCGTGCACTCCAGGTGTGAGCCTTTACTCTGGGACAGTGAATGTGCCAGCCAGGTGTTGAGGATGCTCACTTTGAGAACTTGCATTTAACTTTGCTTCTCAGAGTGTGGGGTGGAGCCTGTTTCCACCCACAAGGCCCACCACCACAGAGCAGTTGGAATGACGCTTGTTTGAGAGCCTGCAGTGTCTAGGCATGGCTGTGCAGCCACCAGCTGCCAGTGGGGTTTACTTCCTGAGCCTGGCCGGGCACGTTTGAGAACAGTAATCGCTCTGTAGCAGACACTGGCCAGGAGGATCAGTGGGAACTTGTGGAACAAGTGTTCTGGGGAGAACAGACAAATTGGGACTTGTTTTATTAGGTTGCTAAAGGAACCCATGCCTATCCCTGCACACCTAGTAGCCATGCAAGAGAGCCAAGTGTCCAGAGTCTCTTCTTGGCTTTGTAAAACCATATCCTGTAAGATCTCCCTGCTAGATTTCCTTATGTCAGCCTGAGGAGCCCCCTGCTGAGGTCCTGAGGTATACTGAGAAGCAGGCTCGGTGTTTATTTCCCATGATGCCCTGTCTCGTTCTTTCTGGGTCTTGAGGCATGTAGCGGAAAACATGGGGTGCATGAGGCATTGTTCTCATGCCCTTATTATTATGAAGAGGAGACTGAGCACAGAAACCTGCCCCAGGGGAGCAGCAGTGGCCTTGCCCCTTCCCAGCAGAGTACGCACAGATGTGCCCATCTACAGACACCTGCCTTGTGGGCCTTGGCCCAACAAAATCCCCACAATGCCACCAGTGATAAGTGTGACTGTTCTTTCTGGGGTCCGTGTCTGGGATTTTGTACCCTTCATGGAGCTAGGAGGGGATTACCAGCACCTCTAAGGACTGTACCCTGAAAGACCATGCTGTGAGCCCCCCTACCCTTCCTCCAGCATGGACCCCTCTCCTGTGGAATCCATGGGATTCCTTGTCCCTTACCCAGAACTCCCTGCAGGCCTAAGGCAGGCCCCAGGAGAGGTAGAGCCTTTGCTTCTGATGTGGCATGGTTCCCTAGGGAGGGCTTACCCATCCAGGCCCTGCTTAGCTAGGGGGAAGGGGTTAGGGAAGACTGGCAACAGAAGAGAGGTCCAAGAGCAGTTTGGAGAAGATGGTTCTGATGGGTGGGGGGAGGTAACCAGTCAGGTAAATTGTTCTCACACAAGCATTTAGGCTTGGCCTGGTAAACATTGGAAGCCATGAGGGACTCTGATTGAGCTGAGTGGCTTAGGTGTAGGGTAGATTGGGTGATTCAAAATACAGCAGGAGATGGGTTGGAGCAAGGGAATGTATGTAGTAAGCAGGGATCAGGTTAGAGGGGTGACAACAGGAAGCCTGCATTCCAGAGGCCAGGCCGGGGGCAGCCTACTACAAGCCTTCCAGCTTTTACCGAGGCTGGGGCCTCTCATGGAGTGAGGGCCTGAGAAAGAGCAAAAATAGAGAGTCAGACTGAGCCTCGGGTTGCGCTGCTTCCTTCCTGACATGGCCTAAAGACATTGGGTCCAGATGAGACTGACAGCTAAGAGGGTGGCCTTGTTACAATGCATGGGACACTACTTCTGCATCAGGCCCGGGGTGACAGTGGATCAGGATGGGGGTCACCTAGGATGGCCTGACGGTGGGGTGAAGATGTTGGGGTCTGGGCTGCCAGAGCCCTGCTCCAGCATCCCTAAAGGGCCTCCTTCCATCTCCTTTGCAGTGATGGGTCATTTCCCTATGACTCTGTCCCCTGGCAGCAGAATACCAACCAGCCTCCCGGCTCCCTCTCCGTGGTCACCACGGTGTGGGGAGTGACCAACACCTCCCAGAGCCAGGTAAGAGCCTCTCCCGCTCCCAAACAGGAGCCTTCCCCCTCAGGCCCTGGGCCCTCAGGCCGCCACCACCTGCCCCCATCGCCCTCCAGCTCCAGAGCCCTGCTTTCGGGGGTCTTCCACTGCCATATCCCAGAAATGGTCTCCACTCACCTCACCTTGAGCCACTTCTGGGTCAGGGGAAGGAGTTAGCTTTCTAGGCTATAGCAGATGATGGGGGTAAACCACATTTACTCTGGTTGGATAAGCAAGAGAACTTTCTTTGCATTGTTAGCTTTAGAGTTCTGTAAGGTTGAGGTCTTTGGCTCTTGAGTGACCTGAATTAGATTTCAGTGAGATATTGTATTTCAGCCTGGAGGGCTTCCCTGGGGTCCTAAAACACAGTGTTGGTCACCCCCCCCCCCCCCACCCATCCCATCCCCGCTGGAAGTTCTCCCCTGTGGGCAGGTTTGTGCGGCCACTCCTCCTTGGCTCTGCTCCCTATTGTCACGCTTTCTTCCTGCCTTTCCATCCATGACACTGCCATGGATGACCGACACTGTCTGTGCTAACAGGTCCTTGGGAACCCCATGGCCAGTGCCAACAACCCGATGAATCCAGGCGGCAACCCCATGGCCTCAGGCATGACCACCAGCAACCCCGGCCTCAACTCCCCACAGTTCGCTGGGCAGCAGCAGCAGTTCTCCACCAAGGCCGGCCCTGCACAGCCTTACATCCAGCCGAGCATGTACGGGCGGCCCAGCTACCCTGGCAGCGGGGGCTTCGGGGCCAGGTGAGCAGAGCAGCCCCTTCCTCCTACTACCCCCTTCCACGCGCCAGTTTAGAAGTGTGAGCATGGCTGTCACTGGTCTTCTCCCTGGTAACCTGTTAGGGCTGGAGGCTGATCGCAGGATCAGACACTGCACAGCTAGGTGACATGCTCACTTCTCAAATGACCCTTGCGTGCTTGACTTCCACATATTGGGAGCTGCTGAAGAGCAGAGACTCTGGGGTCATGTGTCTCAAAGCTGTGCCTCACCAATCTAGAAAGAAAGAATTAGACAGAGACTAAAGTCCCCTGGGTCACAGAAGAAAAAGCAGGGAACCCCAGGGAGAGATTTGGGTGCAGCAGAACATGAAAGACAAGCCACCCCAATTCTATCCAAGCTCCCAGCTTGGCCTCAGCCCTGTCTAGCTCCTGGAAGTGACCACAGCCCCACTGGGTTTCTGGTCTGGGGTGGCAGACACTTGAGGCTGCATTCACACCTCAGCCCTACAGCACTGGGGGCCTGGGGCACCGTGCCCAGGTGTTGTGAGGCTCTGTGTACTCCAGATGATGGGTTCACAGTTGAAGACATGGCACCACCTAGCACCCACAACTTTGCACCTGGCCATTGCCAAGTGGTGATGATCAGGTCAAGAATCCCTCGTCCACTCCGGGCTCTACATTTTGGTGTCATGGTGCATGAGTTGGGTGCTGGAAGGACCTGGGTACTGCTCCGTCCCTGTTTTCCTAGCCCAACTTGCCATAGGTCCATCTATAACTCTTCTACCCTTTTCTCCCACAGTTACCCTGGGGGTCCTAACGCCCCTGCAGGCATGGGCATCCCTCCACACACCAGGCCGCCAGCCGACTTCACTCAGCCAGCAGCTGCAGCCGCAGCAGCTGCAGTAGCAGCCGCCGCTGCCACAGCCACTGCCACGGCCACAGCTACAGTGGCAGCCTTGCAGGAGACACAGAACAAGGATATAAACCAGTATGGACCGGTAAGGGTCCCCTGGTCCCCACGTAGCCTGGGGAAGTGAGTTGGATATGGGTGCTTCCCACAAGAGAGCCAATGGTCTGCATGCTGGCTTTCTTGGAAGCCTGTGGAGGGGAGGGAATGTGTTAGGATCAGGTGTGGCAGTACCCTGCGGGCAGCAAGGATATTGGAGTGTGGTGTTCTGTGTGGGTTGGTGGTTCTTGTTGGGCTACAGCGAAAGAGGTTTGGCAATACTCTCTGGGAATCCTAATCCCCAAAGAGTGAGTGGGTGGCCTCAGTGTCTAACACGGCCTATCCCCAAATCAACTCGGAGACCAGGTCTGCCGTATTTACACCCTCTGTGGGTCCGGCCTCAGACCTTCAGAAGCATGGGGTAGGATGTGAGGAGAAGAGGGCCCCATAACCATGTGGGACAGGAGGCGTGGAGATGGGTCCACAGAGCAGCTAGGCAGAAATGGAAGCTAGGGCCACATCTTGGTAGATGGAGGGTGTGTGTTCTCCATTGGCCAGGGGCCAGAGCTTGTAGGAAAAGACTTCAGCCTCCATCCTCATCTGCCTCCCTCTCCTATATCCTCCCCTAGCCCATCCCCACCCCCACCCTGGTCCCCTTGCCTGCCTTCCCTGGAAATGCTGCCTGTGCATTGGAGTGATTGCTCCCTGTCCTCCCTCCCCGAATGCCCCAGCTACAGCTTTCCCGTGCGGCCTGCAGAGGGCAGCAGTAAGCCCGGCAGGGACAGGCCCTCCTCTGGGGGCCTGGTCACTAGCAGCAGCCACACAGGAAAGTGCCCCTTATCCCTTAGCCCCCCACCCCCGCCCCTCCCCTGCCCTCCCTGCACTTTCAATGCATGTGGCATTTTATTCTTTTTTTTTTTTCTTCTTCTTCTCCCGTTGAAGGTCTGTTCCTCTTTCCAGATGGGTCCCACCCAGGCGTATAACAGCCAATTCATGAACCAGCCCGGGCCACGTGGGCCTGCCTCCATGGGGGGTAGCATGAACCCTGCCAGCATGGCGGCTGGCATGACTCCCTCAGGGATGAGCGGCCCCCCCATGGGCATGAACCAGCCCCGGCCGCCCGGCATCAGCCCCTTTGGCACACACGGGCAGCGGATGCCCCAGCAGACGTACCCGGGCCCCCGGCCCCAGTCCCTTCCTATTCAGAGCATAAAGAGGCCATACCCAGGAGAGGTGAGTGTGGGAGCAAGTTGAGACTGGGGAGGGCTGGCCTTGAAGACTAGACTCAGGGGCTGTGGATGGGGCCTTGGAGAGGGCATGCTTCAACAGCCAGAAAACCTGAGCCAAAAGAAAGGGCCTTGGGAGCCTGAACTCCTGGGGGTTGAGACCTGACTTTGCCGTTTCCCAACTTGAGCAAGTCACATGGTAGTGACAATTATACCTCTCTCAGCCATGCCTCCCCTCTCTCACCTCTGCCTTGATTGCTTACCCACAGAAGCCCCTTTTATAAGTATCCTGTCCCAGGGTTTCTCAGACCCATCTGGTCTTATACTGTGGCCCTCGACTTGGGCTGCAGTAAGGAACCTACGTTCCTTGAATGTTCCCCTCAACAGCTACTCTAGCACAGGCCGATGACCTTGCTACTGGCAAAGGTTATTCTGAGTCAGAAGCTTAAGAATGGGGACCAGAGCCCTTGCTGAATATCCTGGAGGCTGGAGCAAACCCTGACCCTCTAGCTAGTTGGCCTAGTTCATGACGGGGGTGGAGGTGGGTGGCTTGAGAAAGACTGTGGGTTGTGGCTGTCCTTAGGAGATCACACGCTCCACTGAGCTCTCTTCTCTGCCTTTTCAACACTCAAACCTCCCAGTTTGCTCCCTAGATGTCTGTATATATGTGAGAGAGGGTACTGGGCATTGAACTCAGATCCTTACACTTGCTAAGAAGGCACTCTACCACTTGCTCAGCTCTTCGAGCGCCTTTGTTTTGGGTCTCATTTTATGCTTTAGGCTAACCTTGGCTGTGGTGTGCTTTCCCTGTAGCTGAGATAATGGGATTCACCACCATACTCAGCTACTGGTTGAGGTAGAGTCTTGTGGGCTTTTATCCTCGGGCCAGCCTCAACGTTGGATCTTTCCTTCTCTGACTACCAAGTAGCTAGGATAAGAGGCTTGAGTTATCACATTTGTCTTTCTGGCTCTTAAAGGAATCGTCTTCCTCACAGAGCACCTTCCACACTGCATATCTGTTGTCCAGATGTATAGTGCTTGGTCCTAGGCCCAGTGATGACTGGGAGCCCTGGCCTTCATCTTGCCAGACATACAAGATGGTAGGACTTTAGGATGGACTGGAGTTAGGTCACCTGGTCCCGACAGGATTCTTCGGCTTGGGCAGGCACCAGGTACCACACACCTGCCGTGGAGAGAGACAGAGGCACAGAATGCTGAAGGATGATCCCTTGTATTCAGAGTAGCCAGTGCATCCCACGGTGTGAGTCATGGAAAGTTCTTGAAGTGCTGGCCACTCTGACATGTACTCACATGCATGGGAGCACAGTCATCTACCATACCTCTAAGTTAGAGCATGAGACACACTATTAGATGAGAAGTGTGTGGGCTGCAGGGGCCCTGAGAGTCACCTGATGCTCCAGACAGGGAGTATGGTTGAGGTGGCCCTGTCTCCTGTCTGAATAGCCTCTGCCAGGATGGATTGTCTAGCCCCTCACCACCCCGTCCTCTCGGCCTCTGCATGCATGGTGGGTTGACAGTGGCCTAGAGCTGGACAGTGTGAGGTACAGAGCCCAATGCCGCTCGGATCTACCCTCGGAGTCCAGGGTGCTTTCTGGGAGCCACATCCAGTGGTCTGCCACCTTGGGGTACCCAGCGTGAGGGGGGTGGTGAGGGGACACTCACCCTGATGTAAAGACTAGGAGACACAAAGGCAGGCTTTAGAATCGAGCCCCTTAAAATAGCCTCACTGAGATGCTCTAAAAGCATCCAAGGACGTGTGAGCCAGGAAGAATGGCCTCACTGGAAGGTGGCCTGTGAGCTGGACAGGAAGGACCTGTCCCTGGTTGAAGGGCACCATCTGGTCCAGCCTGCCTCCTTTTCTAGGCAGGGAGCGTGTTTGAGTAGCAGCTGCAACCTTGAGGTGAGGGCCATGGAGTGATTTGCTGATGGAGCTCAGTCCCGGGATTAGAGGGAGCAGCTTGGTGACAAGTGACATGACAACCTTTCTCCTGTCCTCTCTGCAGCCACAGCCCAACTATGGAAACCAGCAATATGGACCAAACAGCCAGTTCCCCACCCAGCCGGGCCAGTACCCTACTCCTAACCCTCCAAGGCCACTCACCTCCCCCAACTACCCCGGGCAAAGGATGCCAAGCCAACCCAGCACCGGGCAGTACCCGCCCCCCACGGTCAACATGGGGCAGTATTACAAGGTGAGTGTCCACCCTGGGGCTGCCTCAAATCTCTCCCTTTCTTACTACTCCCATCTGTGACCCCATTCTGTGTCCTGACCCTGCATGTGCTCCCCGAAGACCCCAAGAAGCCATGTGAGATTTCAGAGAGGACCATGCAGTACATTCCTGTTTTCTTTTGGGGGGGGGGATCCGGTCATGGGGCTGTTCATGAACTCTGAGCCTGGGCGCTGTCCCTCAGCTCTTCAGCTCAAGGCTAGCGTTCTACCACTTGAGCCACAGCGCCACTTCCGGCTTTTTTTTCTTTTTGCTTATGTGGTGCTGAGGAATCGAACCCAGGGCCTCATGCATGCAAGGCAAGCGCTCTACCACTGAGCCACCTTCCCAGCCCCACATTCTTGTTTTCTTATGGAAGTGCCGTGCTGCTTGGAGTTCAGTGTATGTGGACAGAAAGACTGGCTTTTCTTGGTTCTTGTTCTCATGGGATTTGGTTGGCCATTTTCTTTCTCCTGATTTATGGCACAAGCAAGAAAATAACAATAGAGGATGTTATAATGCTTTTTTTTTTAAGCGTACACCCTGAATATATTAACATTTTATTCTAAACTGGATCTCTCTCCTTGCAGATCAAGCAGCAACACATTGCAAACTGTTATTGTAGCCAGTCTTGAATCTGTTCGGGTTTTTTTTTTTTTTTTGCAGGGGTGGGTGATGAGGTTTTTGTGGTCATTGTTGTTATTTTTGTGCTGGTCCTGGGGCTTGGGCACTGCTCCTTAGTCTTTTCACTCAAAGCTGGCACTCTACCACTGAGTCACAGCTCCACATCCATGGGTTCTTTTTGTTTGATTTTGGTTTTGTTTTGATGATTAATTGGTAATTTGGTAGACTTTCCTGCCTAGGCTGGCTATTTTCCTCAGATCTCAGCCTCCTAAGTAACTAGGGTTACAGGCGTGAACCAGCATGAATCTAGGTTTTTCTATCTAGCTTGAATTCATTGTATGTTAATTATTGCCAGAGATCACTCTACCCTAGTTAGCCCCCCTCCCCTCCTTTATTCATGGGTATTTGAGTTTCTGATTTTTCACTTGTTTTTTTTTTTTCTCTTTTGGTCTCATTTTTGCTCTTGCTTTTCTGTGTATGTGAGCACGCATCTATGCATGCTCATGCTCCCCAATAGTAGGGCTTAGACTGAACCACATCTCCACCTCCATTTTGCTAGCTAATTAGAGATATGGGTATCTGCCCAAGCTGGATTAGAACCATGATCCTCAGATCTCAGCCTTCTGAGTAGCCAGGATTACAGGTATGAGCTACCAGAGTCTAACATGATTTTTCACTCTGAAATGATACCATGATAAGTGTCTTCAGGCTTCTAGCCTTTTCCTTCTGGAGTACCACGAAACCTGTTCTTGGGAGGGATGGCATCATTGCACTGTTTTATATTGACTCACCAAAGAATCCTCCTGGCAGACGTAGCCACCTGCCTTTTGTCTTTGCCATCTTTACTCCTAACTTCAGCCTAGTAGGTGTTGCCTTTTTTGTTGTTGGTGGTCATAGGTCATGAACTCGGGTTGGGCACTGTCCCTGAACTCTTTTGCTCAAGGCTAGCGTTATACCACTTTGAGCCACAGCACCACTTCAAGGTTTTGAGTGGTTAATTGGAGATAAGAATCTCACCGGGACTTTTCTGCCCAGGCTGCCGTTGAACCACAGTCCCCCGATCTCAGCCTCTGGAGTAGCTGGCATTACAGGCATGAGCCACCAGCACTCAGCAGGTGTTGCTATTTTTATGGATGCGTTTACTAAATAAATAGGTGTGGATAGACTAAAGCCTACTCTGGATGGCTCTCCCTGGCCCAGAAGTCCCCTCTTCAGATTCTAGTCTCAGGGGAGAATTGGGGAGGAGGTCTTCTCCTGCCTGCTACTCACCAAGTTGCATATCTTTTTTTTCAAAAGCCAGAACAGTTTAATGGACAGAACAATGCCTTCTCGGGGAGCAGCTACAGCAACTACAGCCAAGGGAATGTCAGTAGGGTATGTACCACTGTAAACCTCAGAAATTCCACCCTTTGTGGTACCAGCCTCTTGGGGTTCATGGAAATGTGTAGGGGGGAAGTGTACTTTCTCATCACCTGGGTCCAGAGATGCCCAGCATAGAAAGTCTTCAGCTCTGATGATTGACTAAAAACAAAGCCCTAGAGAAAGCAAAACCGGGATGGAGAGAGAGGAAACGTTGACCAAAGGCCCCAAGGGGAAGTGGCTTAGAGTCATGATGTGTGGGAGGCTGCCGGCTGCCAGCTGCCGGGCTGGTTCCCACTCTCCTCCCCTCCCAGGTTGGACAAGTTCCTCCTACCCTGAACACCAGTGTGCTCCTTCCTCTAGTGGGTATAGAAATCTGTGTCCACCTGATCTTGAAGAAGCTCAGTGGCTTGAGACTGGATGAAGGGTGGAGACCCTTTCCCTAGTCATTTATCTTTCAAAGGGATCAGGGGCCAGCGGGAGAGAAGGATTTCCTTGGGGAGATTCCATTCCTGGGGAATAGCCCTAAGTAGGACCTAGGAGCAGGTGGGGTGAAAGTTCACAGCCAGGACTCCCTGCCATGCTTGTGTCCCACAACCCATCTGTGGTTTCTCTTTCCTCCAGCCTCCCAGGCCGGTTCCTGTGGCAAATTACCCCCACTCACCTGTTCCAGGCAACCCCACGCCCCCCATGACCCCTGGGAGCAGCATCCCTCCCTACCTGTCCCCCAGCCAAGATGTCAAACCACCTTTCCCACCTGACATCAAGCCAAATATGAGCGCTCTGCCGCCACCCCCAGGTGAGAGCCCCACACATTGTGTTCGCTTCGGCTCCAGCCAGGAGCCGCAGTGGGCCAGGAACAAAGGGTCTGGGGACTACCTGTGCAGGGCCATGCAGCGGCACAAAAGCACTGCATAGAAAAAGTCCACTGGGGCGGGGGAGAGGGGTGTGGGCAAGAAGGGAGAGGGTGAGAGCGTGTGCCCGTGTGTAGGACTTGAGCTCAGGGCCTGGAGGGCTATCCCTTTGCTTTTTTTGCTCAAGCCTGGAATTACTACTTGAGCCATGGCTCCACTTCTGGATTATTTACTGGTTAATTGGAGACACAGGTCTCAGACTTTCTTGCTCAGCTGTTTCAAACCTCAGTCGTCAGGTCGAGGTTACAGAGATGCGGTGGGGGCTTTGCCACCCCCAGGCCTCTCCCCGGCCAGCAGGCAGGCACCTGAGCCTTCCAAAACAAGACAACAAGAAGGAGAAGCTGGGGGATTCATGGTCAGGCAGGCTTCACAAAACCAAGCCTTCCCTGGTGAATGTGGGCACAACAGGATGTCTGTGGCTCTGGCTTGCATCTGGGTTCCTTCAGTATGCCTGGGGGTGGCGTGTCAGGTGGGCAAGGGAGGTCCTGTTATGGATGGGGGACCTGTGACTCATCAGCCCTGTGTCCACCCCCCCCCCCGCCCCGCCTCCTCCAGCCAACCACAATGATGAGCTGCGGCTCACATTCCCCGTGAGGGATGGTGTGGTGCTGGAGCCCTTCCGCTTGGAGCACAACCTGGCCGTCAGCAACCACGTGTTCCACCTGCGGCCCACGGTCCACCAGACGCTGATGTGGAGGTGAGCATTCTTACGGTGTGGCCCTACACAGGTGGTGGTTTCCCTCACCTGTCCAGCATCACTATGTGGGCCCTGTCCTGCGCAAGTCCCTAGGGATGTCCCGTGGCACCCACAGGCACAGGGCTGGCAAGAGGAAACAGTCAAAAATTGGACCAGGGCTCCTGTGGCTAGAGCCATAGGTAAGAAGGGCAGCAGGAAGGGCGGGGCAGGCTCAGCAACCACTACAGACAGCAGGGGCCTCACTACCAAGCAGGGCTGGCCCTCCTCCTAGGAACAGGCTTGAGGTCAATGTCTGGAGGGCCAGGCCAGCTCCTGGGTTTGTAGCTCGCTGTGATCTTGAAAGCAAGCTGTGCCACTTCCTTTGACAAATGAGGAAACAGACACTGGAGAAGAGCATTCATGAGTTCACATAGCCAGCAAGAGGCAGAGCTGAGATTTGGGCCTGGGGCTTCTCAAGTTCATAACCAACCTGAGGTGTCTTCATCTGGGTCCTTCGTCCTTGGGAAGAGCTCACTCACATTGTCACCTGGTGCCTAAGACTAGCCACCAGTGAGCATCCTGAAGGCAGGAGGTGGGCTCTGCTCTGGACAAGCCCCCCCCCCCCTACACACACACACACACACACACACACACTCAGACCAACACAGCTTCCCTAGACTGCTCCAAGTGGCCACAGGCCTTCAGGACTCCAGAGCTAGGATGCTCAGAAGGATGTCTGACACATGAATGGACCTAAGCTAAGGGTGCATGTACCACCATACCCCTTCCTTAGAGGTGCCCTGGCCTGGAAGGGCTGGTTCCATGGACCTAAAGATGGGTTTAGTCTTAGCTAGTCTTGTCACATAGCATCTGTCTTTTTGTCCTTCTGTCTGTCTTGGGAGAATGGGAGATGGCCAGGAAGGTCATACCAGGAGTGCAGCAGGTGTGTGAAGATGATGGGAACTCAGAGTTTGGGGGTAGGTTTTCATTAGATAATGAGATGTGGGAAAAATGACATCTCTAGGTTGAGAGAGCAGGGGGAAGGGACAGTGACCAGGATTGGGGTGCCCAGGAACTCAGGGCTGATGATGCATTTTGAGCGGGGCATGGTGGGACTCACAGAGTCAAGCTGAACCCACCCCACCCCAACTCTAGGTCCGACTTAGAGCTACAGTTCAAGTGCTACCACCATGAGGACCGGCAGATGAACACCAACTGGCCGGCCTCCGTGCAGGTCAGCGTCAACGCCACTCCCCTCACCATTGAGCGTGGCGACAATAAGACCTCACATAAGCCGCTACACCTCAAGCACGTCTGCCAGCCGGGCCGCAACACCATCCAGATCACCGTGACCGCCTGCTGCTGTGTGAGTGAGCTGGGCGATAGGGTCCCGATCCAGCCGGGACCAGGCCTGGGGACAGCACCCCTAGCTCCATACCAGTCAAAGGCCTCAGACTTTTCCCCTCTTCCCCTTCCACCCCCATACAGCCTCTGTGTCTCCCTACTTCCTTCCTCGGCCTCTCCCCCAGGGCACCCACTCTCATCTTCCATTGGTGAAGTTCTGTGTCCCTCAAAACTGTGTATGCATGGAATTTTCACAGTCCACCCACCTTTTTCTCCAAACCCATCTCCACTAACTGGGGATTAAACCTCTTCCTTCCTCACCTAGACTTTTTTTGTCTAGAGGTGGTATATGCCTGTGTGTTGAGAGAGAGAAAGAGAGGGAGGGAGATCTGGGATCATGCTTCAGCTATCCTGTCCCTGGAGGTCAGGGATGACACAGGGCTTACCTGGGTAACTTATGTGGAGGTAAACTGGCTGCTGCTCTGCTGGCCTTTCTGGAGGACCCAGAAGAACATGCTCTGGCCTCAGCCTAGCAAGCAGAGAGGCTCTGAGGCTGCAGAAATGGATGTGTGTTCTCTTTACTAAGGATGCTGTTTAACTAGGAGCCTGAGGAGCCTGGTCAGGGAGATGGGAGAGTGCGGTCTGGGAGGGCTTCCCAGAGGAGGGAGGACAGAGAAGAGCACTCTGACTAGGAGAGCTAAAGACCCATGAAGGGAACAGTGATGGGAGAGGTTAGGAGGCCAGCTCGGCTCCCATCCTGATACCTTATGTTCCATAACCTTCTCCAGGAGACATTTCAGAGTCAAAGTCTACCTTGTTGGCCTAGAGCGGAGACACAGGTCCCTTTTGGCTTCTGGGGTGACCTGGACTATAGAAGCTGAAGATGGGGTGGGTGAGGGAGTACCAAGGTGGGAACTAAGCATGCTCTCTGCTCATCTCTACAGTCCCACCTCTTCGTGCTGCAGCTGGTGCACCGACCCTCCGTGCGCTCTGTGCTACAGGGTCTCCTCAAGAAGCGCCTGCTCCCAGCTGAGCACTGCATCACAAAAAGTGAGTCAGTCAGAGGTTGGGGGGGGGGGGGCGGGGAGAGAGTGTGAGGCTAGGCCTGAAGGGAGCTTTTTGCTGATCCAGTAAATCTGACAAGTGCCAGATTGAGTTTCTGTGAGCTTTGCAGAAATCCACCCACCCCCTCCCATGCTTCACAAAGGTGGGGCCTGTTCTGCAGAGATCAGGAAAATGCCTCATCCCTCTTCTTCTGGCCACGTGTCACACGTGAAGTTCCTGTTCAAGTTCAGGGCATCGGGGTCTGAGGAATTAAGTTGTACCAGTGGCACACACTAGAGCATGTTCAGAAACATTTCATGGTTCGTCCCTTCAGCAGAATTCTCCCCCCTCCCCCCGGCCTCTCACCTCACCCACCTGTTTCTTCTGCCCTACAGTCAAGAGGAATTTCAGCAGTGTGGCCGCCTCCTCGGGCAACACAACCCTCAACGGGGAGGATGGAGTGGAGCAGACAGCCATCAAGGTGTCCCTCAAGTGTCCCATCACGTTCCGGCGCATCCAGCTGCCCGCACGAGGCCATGACTGCAAGCATGTCCAGGTGAGCATTTCTAGGAGGCATGTCTCGAAGGTGAGCCACCCGCAGTGCGGCAGGGATGGCAAGAGACGGGTGGAGGCACCAACGGGGCCCGGGTCTGGTCATCAGCGTGACTTCACACCTTCCCTTCCCATCCCAGAAATACGGCTTAGACATGTGCTTATTTGGGCAGATGTCAGAGGCCAGCAGGTTGGGGAATCAGAGGGCAGGCAGGCATACCTGTGTCTGAGCAGGTGGTTGAGTGTCACCATCCAAGCTGGCTCTGAACACTGGGCAGCCCAGGCTGGGAGAGAGGCAGAAGAGGGAGGCTAGAAATCACTCCTGCCAAAACACAAACAGTGTCTGAACCCTCCTGTCCCCCACACCACCCCGCCTTGCCATCACGGCTCCTCTTTAAGGGCTGAATGAGAAGTAGGGTTCCCTTCCTCTGGAGAATGTGTGGGCCCAACAGCATGGTCACTTTCACTATCTAGCATGGCGTCAAGAACTTGATCCATTTTGTCCTGGGTCCTTGGGCTGCTCTTGGCCTCAGGAGGTAAAAACACTGAGTCAGCGGGGGTGGAAGGAGGACCAAGATAACTTCCCAAAGGATGTAGGGAGTCCTGTGTTGCACAAAGTGCTGGAGAGAGGGATGGGCTGGGGTGGGCAGGGAGTGTGCACAACTGGTTTACCATGTCATCCTGCCTCCTTCCCCAATAGGGACCTCTTCCTAAGAGTTCCCAGGGTGTAATCTCACCTGTCTGACTGGCTGACTGATTGTCTCTGTCTGGCCTCTGCAGTGCTTTGACCTGGAGTCGTACCTGCAGCTGAACTGTGAGAGAGGAACCTGGAGGTGTCCTGTATGCAAGTGAGTGACACCCACCCCAGCCAGGCCACAGAGAGAAGGAGGCCCTCCCCCTAGCCTCCCCCTGGGGCTCCAGCCACCTCCTCCCTGTTGTGAACTGAACCCAAACTCCACAGAGGAGCTCCGTCCCTGGGCTCCCGTGTGTGGCGCATGGTCACAGAGTGCCGTCTCTGTGCTGCTACAGTCCCAGCAGCAGCAGGGAGGGGTGGGCTGTGCCCCAGAACCATCTAACCCTGCTCTTTCCTTCCAGTAAAACTGCTCTACTCGAGGGCCTGGAGGTGGATCAGTACATGTGGGGGATCCTTAATGCCATCCAACAGTAAGTGGGGCCCCCGCTGGTGGGGTGTGTGGCCTGGGATAGAGAAGAGAGTGGTGTGAAGACAGCCCTGATCACTTCCCTGGCCAGGCCAGCAGACCATTGACCTCCCCCCCTCCCTACCCATCCCCCACTTCTTTGCAACCTTGGAAGTTTGTGGACCTGGGGGTAAATGAACACTGAAGCCAACAGAGCTCAGCCAGAGCAGGAAACCGACAGTGCTTCATAGCAGCTCCTGGAAGAGAGATCTTGTGGCCAGCTACCTAAAAGCCCAACCACTTGCTTCTCCTAGCCTCAGTTTCCCCATCTCACTCAGAGATAAAGGGCCTCACCAGACTCCTGTGCACAGTAATGAAAAGGGCTAGAGGTTCTCAGCTATGGACCTTGTCTGCAAAGCCAGGCAACCCAGAGCCTCAGCTCTGCCTTCGTTAATCCCCCAGCTCCGAGTTCGAAGAAGTTACCATCGACCCCACCTGCAGCTGGCGGCCGGTGCCTATCAAGTCCGACCTGCACATTAAGGATGACCCCGACGGCATCCCCTCCAAACGGTTCAAGACCATGAGCCCTAGCCAGATGATTATGCCCAACGTCATGGAGATGATTGCTGCCCTGGGCCCTGGCCCGTCCCCCTATCCGCTCCCGCCTCCCCCCAGCGGCACCAACTCCAATGACTACAGCAACCAAGGTATGTGCTGCTGAACAGGAGAGGGCAGGAGGGAGAGAGGAGAGGAGGAGGTCAGCTCAGCACTGAGGGGTACCTGATGTCTGTGCTGATGGTGGCAGGTACAGGAGGAGGAGGGGAAGAAGCAGAGGTGGCACACCCCAAAACTGACTGAACTTGAGGGACAGTGGGCTTCAGAGCTGGGTTCTACACCTGCTATCTCTCCTGCACACTCCTGAGAGTTTCTGTGATGTCCATCTTTGTCCCATCCCTTCAACTCTCCTGGAAGAAGCTCAGGCACTGGGAGCCCAGCAGAGGCTGGGTCACCCTCACTGGCTTTCACCTTGATGCCATTTGGCTGTTTAGAAAATATTCCACCCTCCAATGCAGACGGTGGCAGCTGCCCAGCCAGGGTCTGTGATTGTAGGTCTCCAGGGCTCCTAGGTTATTCATGGTCCAGAAATACTAGTCCATCTAGCCAGCTTCCCACAGCATTTCAGCAAGCTGACCCTCTGTGCTTCATTGCCACGTGGTATGGGATGCAGTGGCTTGCTAAACCCCCTTCATCTGAACTCTCCTGAGCCTGGGACCGCTTACAAAAGAGCCTCGGGGCCTGCATCTCTCTGTTACATGATGCAGCCGTGGGCAGGACTAGCTCAGCAGCTGCTCTTACAGGCTGCCTGTAAGAGGTATGTCCTCCCTGACCTATGGGAGCTGGCCTGAGGGTACAGGTGCCTTGCCAGCCTCCCAGGAAGAACAGAAGATAGCTTTTACCTTTCTGTGGTTTAATCCTTGAGGGCAGCACCTTCCCTGTGGGCGACAAACTTCACCTCATCCCCATCTCCCCCCTCCCTAGGCAACAACTACCAGGGCCATGGCAATTTTGACTTTCCCCACGGGAACCCTGGTGGGACATCCATGAACGACTTCATGCATGGTCCCCCCCAGCTCTCCCACCCCCCGGACATGCCCAACAACATGGCCGCCCTGGAGAAACCCCTCAGTCATCCCATGCAAGAAACCGTGAGTACCTCCTTTGGGCAGCCCAACTTTCTCGCTGTCTGGGTCTCTGTCTGGGGCTGACTGGGGCAGAGACGCTCCCTTGGGACTTTTCTCATGGGGATAAGTTTGATTCTCTCTCAGGCAAAGGGGGACCCCTAAGAATGGGGTGTTGGCTTAGACGGAAATAAGGCACTGAAGTGGGCCATCATCCGTGAACCCAGAAGCGGTCTCCGCAGACTGCAGAGTCTCTATCATCCATGAACCGACTCTGTAGTCTATGGAGACCACTTCTGGCCCCGCGAGCGCGCGTACGCACGCACACGCGTACACACACACACTCATAGATAGACTCATGATTCCAGCCATCTAGAAGTTTGTCCTACACCCAGGCACTTGTTGCCTCAAGGATATAAATCGTTGGGGCATCACCATCCTTCAAAAGCAAGTGCTAGGAAGTACAAGCAGCAGCTGGGAGTGTGCTCTCATCCTGGTGTTGCTAGGATGCGCCTTGGAGCATGGGGTCCTGTGCTGGCCTTCCCCTCCCATGGCTTCGCAGCAGTGGTGGGAGGCCTAGCCATCCTCCAGAGTCCTGTCTAGTAAATGCTGGGTGGTTCCACTCTATGTAACAAGGGTTTCTTGAACCATGCATGCTCTTGGGTCAGGCTTTTGCCAAGTGTGAACAAAATACCCAAGGCCTGTGCCCTTGAAGGGCTTGGATGGAGGAAAAACATATGAGGCTTAAGGGGAAACCAAGGACTGAAGGACCTGTCTGAGGCCTCAGTCATCTCGAGAAGGATCAGCTGCTAAGATCTTTCCAGCAGGGTTGGGACCTATATCGGAAAAATCACTCCGGCCTGATGCCAGCAGCTCACGCCTGTAATCTTTTTTGTCGTTGTAGGGCCTGAACTCTGGGCCCGGGGGCATTGTCCTTCAGCTGAAGAGCTGAAGGACACTCAGCGCCACTTCTGGCTTTTTTCTGCTTCTGTGGTGCTGAGGAATCGAACCCAGGGCCTCATGTATGCAAGGCAAGCACTCTACCACTGAGCCACCTTCCCTGCTCCTCATGCCTGTAATCTTAAGCACTCAGGAAGCTGAGATCTGAGCATCCTAGTTTGAAGCTAGCCCCGGCAGAAAAGTCCATGAGACTTACCTCCAGAAAGTCCAAAGTGAAACTATGGATCAAGTGGTAGAGCATGAGCCTTGAGTGGAGAGAGCATGAGGCCACGAGTTCAAACCCCAGTATTCACCCCCACACACACATACAGTCATACTGCAACCCTCTCACCTTCTATTTTGTGCTCTGAAGGAAAGGGCCAAATACCTCTGAGTCTCAGCAACAGCAAACATTAACTTTCTATACCATGAGCTTCCAGAGACTTCCTTTCCTCCTCAGACCTAGAAAAATGTTGGTGGGCAGGCCAAGTACTTTGTCTTACCAGCCAGGCTTTGTCTTGTCTTCTGTTAGCCCCTACCACAAGGGCTCTGTGCAGGGGGGCCTTAGCCTGGGTTACTCCCTAGGTAGACTCTGTCTTTTCTGATTTTTCGACTGCTCACAGAAGGCAAGACCTTGAGCTCCAGGTGTGCTTTTCGGGGGAGGGGAGGGGCAGGGAAGATGTCCCACATCAAATCCAAACGTACGCAAAACACTTGTGACCCTGCTGAGCATTCCCATGCACACCAAGATCTGGCTGAGCGTCTCCAGCCAGGTGCCGATGTGTCCAGGGATTCTGCTACGCCAGGGGACGTGTGGAGAGCAGCAACAGGAGGGGGGCCAGCTGGGCTCAGGGAGCACCACCTGCCGCCTGCAGATCTTGACATGCTCAGCCCATGCCTTGGTCAAGGGGCAGAGCTGTGTCTGAAGATGTAGGGACTGTCTGTCCTGAGCTGGGCTGCCTCCGGGAATGTGAAACTCCTCTTTGCTTCCCCAGAATGAGTACTGTGGTATGGGTTGGGGTAGCCAGAGTGTCCACAGACATGAGCAGGAGTCTCCAGCCAGCTTTTTAGACAGAGTAGCTGTCCCTCCAGCCTGATCTCATATCTACATGGGGTCCTAACCCTATGGTCATGTAATCATCCCCAGTTTGCAGGACCTGGACTGAAACAGCACCATGCAACCTCATGGCCTACTGGGGTGGGGGACTGTATCCCAAGAAGAAGGAGCCCCTTAGACTACAGTCAGAGGCCAGCCTACCAAAGACCTGGGGAGTAACTTCTAGCAGCAATAAGAAAAACAAGGTTCTGGGAAGGCCAGCATAGCGTGGAGGCCACTTGGAAGAATATGGAGATGTGTTCTGTGTGGCCCAGGAAAAAGGACAGAGGACCAGGGAAATACTTGGTCCCAGGCAGCTAGTTCTGAGGGGCAGTATGGATGTGGGACAGAAAGTCCCCCAGAGTAAGGGCTTCCACGTGGCCTGTGTGTGACACTAAGCAGCAGGGGCATAATTACATCAGACCCATACTTTGCTTGCATGTCCACAGGCAACTTGGTTTGTTTTTGTTTGTTTTGGTTTTGATTTTTTGTGTTTTGAGGGGAGTTGTTGCTATTGCTAGTACTGGGGCTTGAACTCAGCCAGGGCTCTGTCCCTGAGCTTCTTTTGCTCAAGGCTAGGTTCTACCACTTGAGTTATTTTCTATTTCCAGCTTTTTAGTAGTTTACTGGAGATAAAAGTCTCACGAATTTTCCTGCCCAAGGCTGGTTTTGAACCGTGATCTTCAGATCTCAGCCTCCTGAGTAGCTAGGATTACAGGCATGAGCCACCGGCACCTGGCTCTTTTGGCGTGTTCAAGGCAAGTGCCGATTAATTGGAGATAAGAGTCTCACAGACTTTCTTGCCTGGGCTACCTTCAAGCAGAGAACCTCCAATCTCAGCCTCCTGAGCAGCTAGGGTTACAGGGGTGAGCCATTGGTGCCCAGGTGGCATCTTGGGTTTTGAATTTACAAATTGAAGAGTGTGAACTGTCCAGCTGATCTGTGAACCACCAGGAACTCCAGCCCCAGCAGGGCCCCCCTTCCTTTGGGAATCATGAGCAGCACCCCCTCCTTGAAGATCCAGGCACCTTCCAGCCTGAGGCCTGTTGTGACTAAGTGAAGTGGTGACCAGGAAGAGAGACCAGGCTGGGCCTACTGAGTCACAGGCTCCCAGGAGGCTCCCCATCTGCCTGCCCAAGCCTTGCCTCGGAAGTAGGGCTCACTTGGGGGGCAGTCCCCATCCCGAGCTGCACGCCTGCCCGTGCTGTGTGTCTGCGTCCGCTCTCTGCTGCCTTGGCCCTGTAAAAGGCCTGCATCACCACGCCGCTAGCAGGCCTTCCTGCCTCCTCCTCCCCAGATACATGCCCATTTTGCTTCTCCATTTTGCCCTCACTGTGGTGCGTTGTGGTGACAGTGTCGACTGGGAAGGTGCTGGAAAGTCTGTGCCCGTGTCGAAGCCCTCCTGGGCTCTGTGCAGCCTGTGTGGCCCCCTCCCCACCCTTCCTTTCCACAAACCTCCCTGATGCGCAGCGTGGCGGGGGGAGGATATTCTTATTTGTTTGGGGGTTTGTTACTTCCCTGGTTTGTTTGGTTTTCATTTTCTCCAGGCATCTCGTGGCTGTGCCTCCGTTCACCTCACCTCTCTTCTCTCCTGCTCTCTCCTCCTCCACAGATGCCCCACGCTGGCAGTTCTGACCAGCCCCATCCCTCCATACAACAAGGTTTGCACGTACCACACCCCAGCAGCCAGTCAGGGCCTCCATTACATCACAGTGGGGCTCCTCCTCCTCCTCCTTCCCAGCCTCCCCGGCAGCCACCACAGGCCGCTCCCAGCAACCATCCACACAGCGACCTGACCTTTAACCCCTCCTCAGCCTTAGAGGGTCAGGCCGGAGCACAGGGAGCATCCGACATGCCGGAGCCTTCACTGGATGTAAGTTGGGGTCACCACACACCTCGGCCTGGGGTCAGGCCTGGCACCGGGACCTGCCCGAGAAGAAGGGGAGGGTGTTGAGGGCTCAAGGCCCCGGGGGGGAGAGGTGGGAGGGTGGTGGGTGGGCCCCAGACAGCCTCCCCAGGAAGCCCCCCCCACAGAGCGAAGTGTCACTGAGGATCCCTTCTTCTCTCCTCCCCCCCGCCCCCAGCCCCTTCCTCCCCAGTCCCTTGGCCACAGTCCTGTTCCCCAGTCCTGTCCACCTACTCAGGCCCTTGCAGTGGCCCTCTGGGCCGGGCTTTGGAGGCAGCACAGGAGGGTCCCTGCCCTTCTTCCCACTCTCCCTTCCCCTTCCCCCGTGTTGAGCTTGCTATATCTGTGCGGTACCCTCTCTGGCCCTTGTCAAGGGAGGGGCTGGAGTAGCAAGGCCCTTCTGTCCATCCTGCTGGTCTTGTCTGTCTGCAGTTTTCTTGTCCACGTGTTATCCATTCCCTGCTTCCGCTTGCTCCATTGCTCACTCCAAGAGATCCCACTGTGTGGGGTGACAAGATGGTGGGGGTGGGGGCAGGAGAAATGAGTTCCGGGGCATGTTCAGGAGGCAGTAGGTCAGAGCAGGCAGCTGAGTTTCCAGGTTTGCTCACCTTGAGGTCTTCATAGTCTGGTAAGATTGGGGCTGGGCAGGTGGACAGGGCAACTGTGTGGAATGGAACTGGACACTTGGCCCTCAAGTCTCCACCTTGGGATGCAGGGGCTGTGGCTGGCCAATATACCCAGAGGCTGGATTTCCAGAGGAAGCTTCTCAGCCACTGTTGTCCTCTGCCTCCCAGCCCTGTTTGTCACCTTCTCCCTAGTGTGAGAGGCCTTGTATTGTGAGAACTCAATCACTGTGAAGCCATCTTGGGCTCTCCCCCATCTCACCCACGCCCCTCACCGGGGCAGTGGAGTGCTCTCCCCCCTCCCCCGCGTGGCAAGGACTCCACATCAGCGTCACAGTAAGGGACAGCGAACAGTGGGCCTCAGGGACAGATGGTACTCTCTGCCAGTCAGGCTCCCTGCGAGCTGTAGGGAGAGATCCAGAACCAGTATTTTGAGGGACACCTCCTGTGTAGTGTCATTTCTCCAGGAGGCCATGTGATCCGCACGTGCCATGGTCATGTCAGAGAGGCCAGAGGAACACTCCATCAACAGGAAGCCATGGCCTGCCATAGGGCCTTCCCTGCTTATGGAGTTGATGTTGGAGCCTGAGAAGGGTCAGCCCAGCTCTGGTCTCCACTGGTGGGCTGAGGGCTCTGCTACCCTCAATTTGAGATGGGCATGGCTGGGCCTGCCGCAGGTGGGGTGCAGTGGCCTGAGATGATGTGAGGGGGTGGGGGGGAAGACAGCCACTGGGACCTCACTTGGCACCTCAGTTTCCCCTCTGTGGACTAGGACCACAGGAAGCAGGTGGAGGGGATTTAAGCATGCCAGCAGGACCCCTCATTCCTCTTGCTGGACACCTCTCAGCCAACACCTCAACTGGACTCCTTCCTTCCTCTTTTCCAGCTCCTGCCAGAACTCACAAACCCTGATGAGCTCCTCTCCTACCTGGATCCCCCCGACCTTCCGAGCAATAGCAACGATGACCTCCTGTCTCTCTTTGAGAACAACTGAAGGCTACCCTCTGTTGGGGGCCACCCCTCCCCACTCTGCCTCCTGCCCTGTCTGTCCCACACACTTGCCCTCCCTCCCAGGTGCCCGTGTCACGCCACCCCTTGCCAGAATCATGGGCCAGGGTGGTGGACAGGTACACCGGGAAGGTTGTATAGGGCTACAGCTGCATCCCCCTGAACGCCCAGAGCTCGAAGATGACCCCCCACTGAGGGGCGCCTGGTCCAGCAAGAGGCCCAGGCCCATGGTGGTGTCAGGTGGCTCTAGATGACCTTCCAATGCAATGCCCCCCCCCCCCCCCAAGTTCTTCCATTTTCTAAACTGTAGCCCTGCTTCCCAGCCCAGAGCCTCCTTCAAGTGACTAGAGCCTGAAAGAACCACCCCCACCTCCAGGCCAGGTTGGGGTGGGGGGACAGCAAGCCTTTGGAGGAGCAATGACAGTTGGCCACAGTGAGAATTGCCTACCCACCACCATCCACCCCAGAAAAGCACAAATCTAGGAAGGAGAACATCTCTCCAGGCCGAGGGCATGCGCTCTGGTCTCTACCATCTACGCCGAGAAGCCGTGTCAACACTTGTCAGAAAAACAGAAAAAAGAGAAGGTGATGAGCCTGAGGATCTCCCATTTCTACTCGAGAAGGATGGAAAGGGGGGATCAGGGCCAGCCTGGAGCCAGGACAACACATTGGAGGCTCCATGACCTGGCCTGCAAAATCAGAGCCCAGTCTTGGACAGAAAAAAGAACATGTGCCAGAGAGAGGACACATATGTGTACACCCAACCAACACGACTGTGCGCTCAGTTGGGGGCCGCCGGAGGAATTGGCAGCTGCAAGTCCATCAGGAGCAGCCCCTCACAACTTTGCTATAAGCCACTCCCTGTTTTAAACTGTGAAAGTGACCGTGGAAAGTTCTGAAGTCACCAAAGGAAAGGCACGTTGGACTTCGACGACAAGCAAACCGTTTCCCTCATGTACTCTTCTTGTTTTCTTCTTCCTGACCCCACCTGCCTCTCCTAGACTGTTCAATGGGACATGGCTTCCTTCTGGGTCCACATCCTTGTGTGTCCAGCCAGTGGCAGGGTACACGGTGGAGAGACAGGACAGGGACAGCTGGGACAGAAGCCTGAGCTGGCCAACCGGAAGTCCAGCACATCTGTGTCTCAGGCTGCCTCACACTGCAGCCCAGACCGTCAACTGCATGCCCCAAGATACTCCACAGGCAACGTGTGGGCTATGTGTGTGCCTGTCGACCACCCCCTCAGCATCGCCCCTCCACACTCCTGCTCAGCAAAAGCAGCCTCTGGTCTTCCCTCTTCACTCCATCTGGCTTAGGGCCCTCAAGGGGCTTTGTCACACAGCCACTTTGTTCCAGGCTGAGCCATGGTGATACTGGGTTGTCCTGTCACTTGGGGTCCCATCTGTAAAATTCTTGGCACCCTTCCCTGCTGCTGCCGCTGCCGCCGCCACCACCCTGAGCCCTGCCCTGCCTTCCCATCCGCTGTCGGTGTCCTTGGTGGCTGTCAAAGTCCCCGTCCGAGTGCGGGCGGTCAGTGTTCCCCAGCGCTGTTTGGCTTGTGCCTGAAAGGTGGTCCCAGCTGTTTGACTCTATGGTCACCTCACCGAAACGGCACAAGGTTTGCTTGTAGGAAGGCTGCCCTCGTCCCCCCCACCCCCGCCCCCCTCTTTTTCTTCCTTTTTCCCTTTTGTCGAGGTTTTATCCAGATCACCTGTTGTTCAGTATGCAAATCAGTTATTTTAAGACTTCGCTTTTGTAAATATCTTTGTGAATATTTTAGTATCGTCTTTGATAATATTCCAACATTTTCATGACCTGGTTATTGCCTTTGCTGGTGTTTTTAAAATACCTTGACTCAACAACAGACACTGAGTCTTTTTTTAGAAAAAAAAAAAAAAAAAAATCAAACAACAAAAAAAAGCAACCAGGGCTATTTGTTATAGATGAGCGAGGAGCAGAAGGGTGGTTACACTGGGAGGTTGTAGATCTGGAAGCCCGCTCTTGAGAGCCATCCCCCCACCGTGGCAGCTGATCGGGACAAGACTATGCCAAGTAGTATGCGGCAGTACCTGCCCTGTGCCTGTGGCCTGGCACATAGCCACAAACTGCATTGGACCACCTGGAATGTCAGCTTCAGACAGACTGACAGATGCCTTTCCTTAGAAGTTTCTGCTTTCTGCTGTGATACAGTCATCTAGAAAGGCCCAGGGTCCCTGCTGGTTCTTGTCACTGTACCTCAGTTTTGTTCATAGACCTACCCTCAGCTTTCTAGTGCAGAGGGGCTAAATCTATCCAGGCCCTCCTCCCCCTGCCATCTTGGGCTGGCTTCCTGACTTCCCTGCCATACAGGCTTCTAGGGCCAAAGTCCTTACAGAGCCCTTTCAACCAGCTCCGGCCCACCGTGCCTGAAAGCTGGGGGCACGAGGGGTGCCCTTGTCCAGAATAGTTCTTTGAGTGTGAGAGAGCTAGAACCATCCCTTAGACATGACAAATAAGGCAACGTCCGTTAGCAGAGGCAGGGCCGCGTTCTAGAAAGTTAACCTCCTGACCCTGGAGCCATAAGTAACCTCGACAAAAGAAGAAATGGTCTCAGTAAGCCACTTTCCTGTGCCAGCTCCTTCCACCCACCCGCTGGCAGGAGTCTGTCCCCAACTCCACAAAATGGGGTGGGAACAGGCAGGCAGAAAAGGCCCCGTATAGGCAATCATCCCATCTTCTTGGTTTGAAGCTTTATCCATGTATCATGTTCCCCAGTAGCAGTTTTATTTTTGAAGAAACTTCTAATCCTTTTCCCTCAGCTGTAACGCCCAGAGAGCTATATTTTGCTGCCGACGGGTTTCAGGCCTGACCTGTCCAGACAGGGCAGTGAGCAGCCACAGTGGCTCAAGGGACGTGTGTGTACATATGTAAATGAGAAATAGACATGTCAACAGATGCTTTCATTTCTCTTGGAATGTGTATTGTTTTTATTTTACAAAACAACCACAAAAAAAAAGGCTTGAAACTCCATCATGCGTGGAAAAGAAAAAAAAAAAACTAGATCCTGTTAGCATTTGTCTCCGCTGTGTAATATACTCTGACCCTGTGTGGAAAGGTATTTTTTTTTCGTTCTTGTTTTTAATTTTTACCTACCTGTACTATTGAGCTTCAGTGTGCTAGTTCTGCCACCTGTGTATTTTTAGGGTGCTATGGAAATAATGAAACGGGGGATTTCAGAAGAAAATTGTAACCAAATTCATAACTTTGTATAATTTTTTGATATCATGATCACAGGTAATCCACATGCCCACACATCGACACGCCCACCAGTGCAGCCTGAAGTGACTCCCACCTGAACCGCCATCGTCTACATTGTCTGTACAATGCAATCATTTCATCTCTTCAACTGGTCAGAAAACTAATTGTGGTTTCTAGTCTTGCAAAGCTGTATGTAGTTAGATGATGTGACCTCTAATATTTATCTAATAAATATGTATTCAGATGAAACCTGTATATTAGGTGTTCATGTGGTTATTTTGTATTTAAAGATCAAATTATTTGACTATTGCTAGACATTTCTATACTCTGTTGTAACACTGAGGTTATCTCATTTGCCCATGTTAATTTTTTTCTAAATAAATTGACAAAAAAAAAAAAAAGAAGGTTCTGGTGAAGTAGCTGTTTTGTGGGTATGGTGAGGAGTGGTCTGTGTGTTTCACTTTTATTCTTAAAAACCACCACCCCCTGCCCTGTCATTAAAAAAAAAAAAAAAAAAACATGCCCACAGCAAACATTAGAGTGCTTTGGGGACTGCCCCTGGGGTCCCTAAGGCCACAGAGGATCTGTGCCTGACTACATTCAGCACACCCACCTTTTCTAAGGAGAGCTTGGGTCTCTAGGCTCTGTCTGCTAGCTCCTCCCCACACCATAGTCTGACCAGCCTTACAACCTCAGTACCCCCAGCATGGGCTGCACTTCTGTGTCTGGGGTTTAAACTTAAGGGAAGTATATGTGATTGAAAGAGCCTAATGGTTGGTTGTTGCCCTTTCTCCACTCAGCCTGACTGCTGAGCACTAGGAAGAAACAAACATGGCTATCTTGGTTCTCTGGCAATGGGAAGAAGGTTCTGAGAGGGAACCCCAAATACATCCACCAGTTGGGTGTGTGGCGATGTTGGTTAAAAGAGACGAGAGTAAGCAGATGAGGGAGGCTGTGGTGCAAGAAGATAGGACTGTCCTGGAGGTCTGAATGCTCACTCCTGTCTTCTCTAGATGAACACTCAGGTGGCTAGATTGTCTTGGGGAGATAGAGGTATGGAAAGAGAACTTGCATTAGCTCCCGCCTATAATCCTAGCTACTTAGGTAGCTGAGATCCCAAAATCATGGTTTGAAGCTAGCGGGGGTAGGAAAGTCCATGAGACTTTTGTCTCCAATTAACTAGCAAAAAGTGGAGGTATGACTCAAGTAGTAGAAGGCTAGCCTTTAGTAAGAAAGCTGAGGAACAAAACTAGGTGCTGGTGGCTCACGAGCCTGTAATCCTAGCTACTCAGGAGGCTGAGGGTTGAGGATCCCAATTCAAAGCCAGCCCAGGCTGCAAAATCTGTAAGAATTTTATCTCCAATAAACTACTTGGAAAAAGCCAGAGGCGGCATGGTGGCTCAAGTGGTAGAGCACTAGTAGAGAGCTAGTTTTGAGCAAAAGAAACTCAGGGATAACTCCTAGGCCCTGAGTTCAAGCACAACACAATTCAAGCACAACAAAGAAAAAGTAGAGCCCTGATCACTGCTAAATTCATGCATTGGCCTCTGTCAGCCTTGCAGCCTAAGAAGGGGCATTGGTGGAAATAGAAGGGTTTCCAAATGGGACTACCTAGCTCTTTATGCCCTAGGGCACTGACTCCTCCAGAGAGCTGAGGACCCATTACAGTGAGATATAACCTATAGTTTTTATTTTTAAAAAATAGAAATCAGAAGTGTACCCTACAAAACAAGACAACTTTGGGGGAGAGGTGCTCACACTTAGCTATGTTGTGATGGGAGTTCTTACTTGGAAGTTGTGTTTAATAACAAAAATGTTATCTGAGCACTGATGGCTCACACCTGTAATCCTAGCTACTCAGGAGGCTGAGATCTAAAGATCACAGTTTGAAGCCAGCCTAGGCAGGAAATCCATGAGTCTTTATCTCCAACTAACTATAAAAAGAAAGTGGAGCTATGGCTCAAGTGGTACAGTATTAGCATTGAGCAAAAAAAAAGTTCAGGGACATAACCAAAGTCTTTTGCTCAAGTCCAAAGTTTAAATATCTGTGCCCTAAAGGCAGGACCTAAGCAGGGGAGGAAGGATCCTGTGCTCTCCTAACTTCAGGATAAAAAGCAAAGTTCTAGACATTTCTGTTTGACGTCCTGAAACAAATGCTGCTGCCAATTATCAACCTGTGGCCATCCTGAGGCCTCTTGGAAACCTATGGCTCCAGCTCAGTTCCCTCCTCCTGAGCCCAACTTTGGGCTGAGAAAAGCACACCCATCCAGGCTTCAGTCCTACCCACTACCCTTCCCTTGGGCTCTCCACCAGCCTCCTCCTCAACCACACCACCTCACTCACTTCACCCCTCACTCAGATGCTCATGAGCTGTCCATCCAACCCACAGACCCACCTCCATCCTCCTCCGGTCATATCTTCCTCTGCCCAGGCCCAGAAGGTGTGGGGCCACTCATTCCCAGAGGGTCAATAACCCTCCCTGGCCTCATACCAGCTCCCCCTTCTCTTCTGTTCCAATGCTGGCTCTCCAGTGACCTCCTGGTTGCTAACGTCCATGCCGCTTTCAGATCCTGGCTCTCACAGCAACACTCGACAGTTGCCCTGCCTTTCTGGAAATTCTTGTCTCAGGGATTCCAGAACAATGTCCTGTTGGTTGTTCTGATGTATTCTATTCTAGCACCTTCTATCTCCTCCACAGCCCTGCAGTGTCCAGGCACTTGTGATGCCCCATGAAGATCTTTTGTCCCTCAACTGCTAGACAGCTGGCTACCAGCGGCGCACCTGATCCCTCCTTCACCAGAGTCATCCTCAGGAGATGAGCAAGTCACGGCCCTGCATTGTGCCAAGGGCACTGGGACCTGTGCTTGCTCCACTGTCCCCTTCCTTGTCATGGCCGCTGGCATGCCTGTGTGGTGAATCCTTCCCATTGTAGGCCACCTTGGAATTTACTTCAAAAATAATTTCCACTCTCATCTCAAAAACATGACCAGTCACCCTTGAAACTATTTCTAGTTCTTTGCTTCCTGCCAATGTCTCCATGTGGCCAATCCTGATATCTGTGTTCTGCAACCATCTCCTGCCTACCATTTCCCTCGTCGCAGCTCAATACAGCCTGCTGGACTGGCCCAGCGGCCGCCCAGCCCAGGCAGCCGTGCCACAAGCACTTAAGTCACAGGGTGACCTTCTGGAGCTTGAGCCTGCCTACTGTGACCCACCCACTGCACCTCCACTCAGAGAACCTGTTGAATAAATCCCTGGACTCAATGAAGATGGCGCTCCCAGATCCCACTCTCTCCTCCACACTTTTCCAGGGCAACTGTGGCCTCCAGGAATGCCATTTCCTTTCTAGGTAATATAATGACCTGTCAGTCATATTCTCTTCACTTCCCTCTGAGTCCCTCAAAGGGACATGCCACCAGCACCCAGTGAGTGACCGGCTCTTGGAGTGGCTCAATGCTGAAATCCCCTATATTCAGCTGCCAGATTAGGAAAACCAAGGAGAACCCCATAGAAAGTGAGTTTGGGAGCCAAGTTCCACATTTTATCACTTAAGGTTCTATTACCTGGCTGCCGGTGTAGCAGGAAAGGAGCTCAATCAGAAGACAAAGGTCCAGCAGGGCTCCTGTGGCTTACACCTGTAATCCTAGCTATTCAGGAGACTGAGTTCTGAGGATGGCAGTTCAAAGCCAGCCCGGGCAGGAAAGTCTTACCTCCAGTTAACCACTAGAAAGCTGGAAGTGGCACAGTGGCTTAAAGTGGTAGAGTATTAGCCTTGAGCAAAAAGAGCTCAGGCCCTGAGTTCAAGTCCCAGGATTGGCAAAAAAAAAAAAAAAAAGAATGAAAGAAAGCACGAAAGCAAGGAAGGAAGGAAGGAAGGAAGGAAGAAAGAAAGGAAAGAAGGAAGGAGGGACTGGGAAGGTGGCTGAGTGGTAGAGCGCTTGCTTTGCATGCCTGAGGCCCTGGGTTCGATTCCTCAGCACCACATAAGCAAAAAGAAAAAAGCCGGAAGTGGCGTTGTGGCTCAAGGGGTAGAGCGCTAGCCTTGAGCTAAAGAGCTGAGGGACAGCGCCCAGGCCCAGAGTTCAGGCCCCACAACTAGACCCAAAAAAAATAAAAATAAAAGAAAGAAAGGAAGTAGGTAGAATCCTTGTTGGGTCTCTGACGCTTAAATACATGCTTAGAAAATCCCACTGAGGCCAGGCAAGTGAAAAGATGGCCTGCCTCCCCATTGAATAAGTCAGTCAGGAGCTCAGAGTGCCAGCAACAGAAATCACCTCTGATTTTTTTTTTCTGGTCCTAGGACTTGAACTCTGGGCTTGGGTGCTATCCCTGAGCTTCTTTTGCTCAAGGAACGTACTCTACCACTTCACCCACAGTATCTCTTCTGGCTTTTTCTGAGTAGTTTATTGGAGATAAGAATCTCACAGACTTTCCTACCTGGGCTGGCTTCAAACTACGATCCTCAAATCTCAGCCTCCTGAGTAGCTAGGACTGGCATACAGTTCCAGCTCTGATTTTCTGGAGAAGTGTTTGCAGGTTGGTGAGTGGAGAGGCTGAGAAGGACACATGCAAAGAAGCTTAGAACAGGCACAAAGTATGACTCAGATAGCTTGGGGTACAAGAGCTCATTGTCCCATGAGGGCTCATGTAAGAAAGAATGAATTCTGTAGTTTGCCCCTTGTCCTGGTACCACCTCCTGAGTCAAGGTCATAGGCCAAACGGTTCCCCAACTCCCATAGACGTTTGTTCCTGGTGGGGAGAGTAAGGTCTATCAGAAGATGTCTCAAGGACACTTATGGTTCCCATCAAGAATTAGAAAACTACAAGTCTGGGGTTCAAATAAAGCCACACTTCCATTTTGTATGGTTTATACACTAAGAACAGTTTAGGTGGGTTTTTTATGTTTGCCGACATTTGTTTATCGAGGAAGGCTCAGACCCCTGAATACATTGACCTACAAAGGTAGGTGATGGAAAGAGAAAATTTTTCGTGAGAGGAAGGCAGAAGGTAGTCAGGAAAGAAAGGATTTGGAATGGCCACATATGGCAAAGGGTCTCTCTCTGTCTCCCCCTAATGTGCTTGTGTGTGCATTCAGGCATGTAGCCTTAAACCAAAATGTCTTAAACCCAGGTGTCTCTCTGCCAGTTGCCACGTAGGAAGAACCCTGGGGATGAAAGGAAGTGATTGGGATGGGATGACCTTCATTGTCATTGGGAGGCTGGGGGAAGAGCTGCTTTACAATGCAGCTCAGAGCT